TGGCTCTAAGACTCAAGTCCTTTCCTCCTCTGCCATCAAAAGAAGTATAAAAAGAAGGCATCTCTGCAAACAGAGCTAGAAGATATGCCAGTGACCAGGTGCAAACATGTATCACAGTTCACAGCAGCACTCCCGTGGACTTCATTTTTAGGGATTTCCAAAATTTCACACTGTACCTGTGACTGTGTTTAATAGCTCTCTCTCATTATGCCCAAGACCCTGTCACCATCTCAGCATTTAGAGCCTTTCAAAAGCTAGGTACTGACACTGCATTCCCTTTTACCTACACCAACCGGTCCGCCTTCCTGGTAGGCTCTGCCCAACCTACCTCTCCTTCAGGCTAACTCCCAGTCATTAATAGAGGTTGGCTCAGCTTGGGGCAGTCACAGTGGCCTCAATGCAAATGCTTATTGAATTACAGAATGTAACCCTACTCTTTCTCTACCACCCTGAAAAAAGAAAAAAAAAAATGTTTACCGGAGCCCTATTGACTTTAAAAAGAAGCCCAGGAGGCTCACCCTTCAATTCCTTATTATTCGAGGCTCACATTAGGGGCCGACCTGCTTTTCCCAACACACAGCTCAGTATGGTGACCAGATGCCACCCTCCTACAACCTAAAGGAATGCCATATATATAGCCTTCAAAGCCCAGTTCAAATCCAATATTTAAAAAACAAATTTCCTGGCTCTTTGAAAGCATCCCCCTTATAAGCTCCCCGGGCGCACACTTGTCTCCTTCCCCACACTCCTGGCACTGGATAGTTCATCTTTCAGTGAGAGCACACTCTCCCTTCCCTCCTGGATGGGGAGCTCCCTGTGGGAAAGTTCTCACGTCTGGAGCCCATCCAGAGCCACACAGCGCAGGGCACATGGCAGGCACTGAAAACCACAGCAGCAGGACTCTCCGTGCTGGAAATAGGCCGTGCAAAATCAAATCCTTCAGAGCCTCACCAATGCCCTATCCACAGATTTTTACCCCAAGTACATTTTACTGCTCTATGACAGAATCTTCCACACAAATCCACATCTTGGAAGCCCCGATGAATTAGAATCCCAGAGGCATTGCGCTGGCCAGTCAAATCTTCCATTTGATAGTCTGCAACCAAGAGGTACCATGGTCCCTGCCTGAACACCTCCAGCAACCGGAAGTCTTATACCAATTGATACAGTCCACTTCATTTTTGATACGTGCTACCATGGGTCCTTACACACTAGTTCAGTCTGTCTCTATGGGCTGTGTGCTTAAATCCCTAGGAGTAGCAGGTTAGAAGATATAAGCACATAACCAGCTAGGAAAGCAGTGTAGTATGACAATTAAGGTCATGGAGTTTAAAATCAAGCAGAACTGGGTTCACATCCCAGCTTGCCACTTGTGGGAGGCCACAAAACCTCCCCAGCACACCCCCCGCCACTTCCACCCCCTCCCATGGCTGTTTCAGGATGAAGGGAAATGATGCAGGCAGAATACCTGGCACAGGGGACACTGGGCAGACGGCAGCTATCATGGTCATTAGTTCTATTCCGGTTTCCCCTTCCAATGTGCCACATAATCAGTGCTAATCACACCCTTGGCCTCTACATGAGGTCTGTATGCCCTTCCATAGGATGTCTTTGAAAAGCTTCAGCTGACATCTCATTCTGTTTGCCGCTGCCTGGGCACAACCGGAAGCAAGAAGTTGACTGGGGCTCCCATTGCAACATCTGACACGGAGCGGGCAATGAAAAAATAATCAGAACAAAGCTTCTTTCACTCAAGCCTTTACGGGTGCTGTCCAAGACTCTACAAAGCTAGAGGAAGACATCAGATGTCACAGCAGCTGCCTGGGTCACTCAGAGCAGTAGATAATGATGCTCTTCAATGCCTCGATGTTCTTCAATGCCTCAAGCCCCTTCAACCATAGCCCCAAAGAGGACACAAGGAAGGTGAGCAAAGGCGGAAGGGGACGGAAAGGATACTCCAGGACTTGGTACCTGTTTTCCACACTCCCAGCTGCCCTCTCAGGCTCAGAGATCTGAGGACAAGAGTTCAACCTCTTCACCCAGTTCTACTTCCACCCCAACACTGCAGGTCAGAGGCAGCTGAGGTAATGTGAAGTGTGTCCTCAGGCAGATAGTACAAAATCCAGGTCTGACCTTGCTATTAAATTTATGTGACCTTGGGATGCCCATTGACCTCTTTGGGCCTCACCTTTCTCATCTGCACAGTAGAATACTGGCCTAGACCACTGGTTTTTAATCAGCGATGTGTAATGGAAACACTGAGGGGATTTTCTCTAAGTACTCTTGACCAGGTCTATTTCTCAGAGATTTTTATTCCAGACTGGAGTGAGGGCTGGGCATGTGTGTGTATGTATACTATATGTACATATATTATATGTACATGTCTTATTATATATTATATATGTACTATATATTATATATGTACTATGTATTATATATGTACATATGTTATATGTACATACGTGTTTTTTATATATATACACACACACACATATATATTTTCAATTCTTTAGCTGGTTAAAAATCAGTGACTTAAAGATCCCTATGATGCCTTCAGCAAACACCATCATGTCTCACCCTTGGAAGAATGTGTATAAAGAGCTGGGCACAAGACTTGGCACACAGCAGGTGCTAATTAAATATTTGCTCCCTCCACTATCACAACCACTCCCAGCCAAAAGCAATGGCAGCCACATAGGTCTCACTAGGCAAGATGGCAGCTGGTGCTGTATGTGAAACAAATTGTGTCAGTCAATTAAGGAATACCCATGGTCTAGTCACAGCAAGTTCCGACCAGTGAAAAGAATGAGGTAGGGATGACTATAAATAAGTATATGATGAATATAGCAGAGGTGAGCTTTAAAGTAATGCTTCTCAAACTTTCAGTAACACCTAACGACATAGATTCTGGAGTGAGGCTAAGAGTCTCCATTGGTAACACGTGCTAAGTGATATTTATGCTGCTAGCCCAAGGAGCAAACCTGGAGTTGCAATCTAAATGTATGCATTGTGAAGGACAAACTTGCAGCCTAAGGCAATCGTTCCACACAGATTTGCTGAGCATCTATTAAGCACCACTCAGGAAATGTGCTGAGGCTGGAAAGACTCAAGAGGATTAAGACTTAAGAAAGAGACATCTCAGCAAATACTAGCAGTAAAATGTGCCTTAAATTCCATATCAGAGACCTGGCCAAAGTGCTGTGGGCATCCCAGCAGAATGCCAGTAATTATATCTGTGTTGCCTAAAACAGAAAACAGTGAGGACGCTGATGAAGTAGTTAAATTGTGGAAGAGAACAATTACAAAACAGTATGTACATGGTCAGGTGCAGTGGCATGCACCTGTAGCCCCAGCTACTTGGGAGGCTGAGGCAGGAGAACTGATTGAGCCCAGGATTTCCAAGGCTGCAGTGAGCTATGCTCATGCCACTGTGCTCCAGCCTGAGCAACAGAGAGTGACCCTGTCTCTATAAAGTAATCAATTAATTTTTTAATTAATTAAATAACTTTTTAAAAATTGCTTTCAAAGTATGTACGGAATTGCTCCACTTTTGAGGCTAGAACCAGGTTGGCAAACCGATATTTACACAGCTTACTAGCGAGAAATAATTTTTCTATAGTTAAAAGAATCTTGAAGCAGCAGAAGAAAAAAGAGGAGGAGGAGACAGAGACCATGTATGGCCTGCAAAGCGTAAAATATTTACTACCTAGTCCTTTACAGAAAATGTTTGGCAACCCGTAGGGTAGAAAGATAGATACACAGATAAAATTACGTAGCAAATTTCACACTGACTGTTGCAGATGGCTGCAGGTGGTTTTTATTTTCTTCTTCTTCTTCTTTTTTTTTTTTTTTTTGAGATGGAATTTCACTTTGTTGCCCAGGCTGGAGTGCAGTGGTACAATCTTAGCTCACTGCAACCTCCGCCTCCCAGATTCAAGCAATTCTCCTGTCTCAGCCTCCCGAGTAGCTGGGATTACAGGCATGTGCCACCACGTCCAGCTTATTTTTGTATTTTTAGTAGAGATGGGGTTTCACCATATTAGCCAGGCTGGTCTCGAACACCTGACCTCGTGATCTGCCCGCCTCGGCCTCCCAAAGTGCTGGGATTACAGCCATCGCGCCCAGCCTATTTTCTTCTTTATGTTTTTCCATGTTTCTGTGTTTCTCCAGAGACAACATGTTCTCTCTGAAACTAAGGGTGAAAAAGTTATTGTCCTTTGTGCAAGGTATTTCACATTCTAATAATCTACCTTAGAAAATAATCGTAGGTGCAGATAAAGAATTTTGTAAGAAGGATGTTCATCACAGCGCTATTTATAATGATGAAAAATTAATATTATGGTATATTGTTAAGATGAAACAGCATACAGCCATTCAAAATTACATGTACAAACAATTCTTAATGCCATGAGAAGCTGCTCATGCTCTATTGTTAGGTGAAGTGGCAAGATATAAAAATGTTTATATAGTAATATTTAGTCAGTAAAATGCATATGCACATAAAATCATGAAAAGCACCACTAAAAAAAGAATATTAGAAACATAAACAATGTTTATGTCTAAATAGTGATTTATGAGTGATGCTCATTTTCTTTATACGGTTCCATATTTTTGAAATGTGTTATCATGAGTAGGTCCTACGCTTATATCAGAAAAATACCACAGATAGTAAGTTCAGGTTTGTTTTTGCTTTAAGTCTTCTTGAGGGAATATAAGGAGGTTCAAGGAGGAGACAGAACATTCCCCAGATACAAACAAAGGGGAAGGGCCCTCGGGCCATCAGGGCAGCATATGCTAAGACACAGAGGCTGCAAGAGAGTGGGGCCAGGGACACACTCAGAGTAGCAAGCACAGAGCATGACTGGCAGGGGACAGCCAGAGCAAATCCTGGAAACAGAGGCGAGGTCAGATGACAGCAGGGCAAGGTGTGCACGGTGAGGGATTCTACCCACAGGCTACGGGAGGCAGTGAGTGAGAAGGCAAGAGGCCAGCCAGGAAGCCAAAGGACAGATGCCTTCCCAGACACCTTTAACAAAAGCAGAGTCAGGGAGCGCAGAAGCCTGCGCCAGGAAGAGCAGGAAGATATGTAAGTGTCTTACACTCATTGCCATTTACAAAATGGTTCTCCTTCATTTTCTTCAAACAAGGCTATGCATATATTGGTGTCTGGAAATGAAATTAATTAGTAAATCAAATCAATACATTCTTATTGGCCAAGCATCACTCGCGAGCCCTTCTGACTTCATCCTAAAAGTGGACCCAACCAACAACCCCCTATGTTGCTTCACAAGTAATTTCTGACCAGTCAGGCACAGATGCCACACAAAAGACGAGGCCTGAAGGTGCCATTATCTGTCAAATGGACCCAAGACAGGATGAGGCTGAAAGAGGAGGAAGAGGAAGAAAGGCTCACTTAGGGGGAGAGGAGAAGCTGCTGCAAGCTAACTACTGCTCTCACTGACTCAGGATGCCCACTGCTCACAACCAGAGGCCACAATTTTGGAGGAGACAAGAGACTGCAGAGAGGCTGTGCTGAAGCTCACTCCATGGCTGGATTCCCGGCAGGATAAGAAATGGAGTTCTAGTAAACTAGAAGGAATGCTGCTGGCAGGAGACAGACCTCTCGAGAGGGCTTTAAATGGAAATACGAGAGCACGAGAGGAACTCTAAGTGCAGAAAATGCACTGGGCAAACAAGTGTGTCACAGATGTGGGCGCCCCAGAAGGGGAGGAGCTCTGGAGTCACAGAGGACCCAAGGGAGAGAGCGTCAGGTGGCCCTCCAAGCCCACGGGTGGCAATGAAATGAACTGGAGAGCTGAAGGCAGGGGCCTAGGAGGAGGCCGCAGAGCTGCGATGAAGGGCTGCTCATCAGAGGCACACGCACGGGTCAGATAAAGAAGCTCCGCTACGAAGACAGGAGGCAATGCAAGGCCACAGTGGAAGATTCCATGCATGCTCTTCACAGTGGCAAATTCAAAAGCCTTGGAGGGCAGCATGCTTCCATGATAACAGGGAATGGGGGTCAGGGTGAATATGTAGACTCCATATCAATGCTTTCAAAACCTCTCTCTCTCTCTCTTTGTCTCTCTCCCTCCCTCTCTCTTGCTCACTCTCTCTCTCTTTTTTCTCTCTCTCTCTCCTCCCTGCTCTCTCTCTCCTCCCTGCTCTCTCTCTGGCCTAACATATCTGCATGTCCATAGAGGCACTAATCTGCAGTGATGATGGACTTTCTCGACCACCCTGCTACTAGGAAACTTCTTCCATATATCATAAACAGAGACCAGTATTACAATACTTCACCCACGGCCCCCATCTGGCTTTCATGTCTGTTTCCTGTGTGGATCACAACATCCTAGACAGCCCAAATGAGGCTTTATTCACCTCCAGTCCCCAGTCCCCGGAACAGCAGACAATATATATGGAATCAACAAGTGTCCTTCACTGCCATACACATTGGCTGTGAATATCCTTTTGCAAATGCAGAACATCTGAAAGATTCTCACATTGACTAAACAACAGTGTGACCTGAAGTTAAGAGAACCATAAAGGTAAATGATTGCTAGAAGTTTAATTCCAAACAAGGAAGAGCAATATGGTGCAATGGGCAGAAGACAAACACTGGGAGAATGAGAAAGTATTCTCTTGAGTTGTGACGTGAACAAACAGAGATTCCAAGCTCTTGGAAAAGCAAACAGTCAGCAACCAGCATGGTGCTTAGAGTAGTCCCCGGGCAACAGAAAAAACAGATAAATGAAGAAACATGGACAATCACCCTAACTGGGTCTCAGCGTGAGGAGGAGGACTAGGACTTCTGGAGAGAAATGAGGAGAAGCATGAGGAAGGGGCTGGGAAAGACACTTCCCTGTGGGCATGTGGTGCCCTCCACTGGGGCCAGACTTCCCAACGTGACTCGCTCTCCCCATCTGTGAAACTGGCCGAATCCCTGAGGTCTCTCCCAGCACTGACTATCAAGTGACAGAGAACCTAGAAACTCCAGGAGCTCCATCACAGCCCTGACTCCCTGTCCCAGTGAGACCGTGGCAGCCTCACTCTTCTCACACCTATAAACTGAGGGTGCTGCAGTGTCAGCTTTATCAACACTACCAAGTACACCTTTGCCAAAATCTCTATGGATGAGAAAGAAAAAGAGCATGTATGGAATTGGCCAGGGCTTAGCACCGTCTTGAACATGACACACTTGTGCACATCGTCACATGTTCCCAGCATCCCTGTCCCACCTTAGGCAGCAACTGTCATCCCCCAAGGATGACCTCCCAGAGTGCTCAGGGCAGCTCAATCTCTCCAGCCCTCATTCCTTTCCAGTTCTTTGGTGTTGCCCTGTGATAAAAACACTGCACTTCTCCGGTGTGTTTTAACCATGAAGTACCTTCCTACAGACAAGTCCTTTAACCCTTACGCCAGCCAGAATAGGTAACATCAGCATAATCACCATCATTACTCCCATTTTACAGATGAGAGAGCTGAGGCTCATGTAAGACCTAATCTTCATCTTCCCAGGGATCCTCCAGCTCCTACATCAATCATGAAAGACTACAGCAATCACATCCAGCACTGTTCTGATCTAGTCTCTTTGCCGCTAAATAAAGGCAGAAATCAAGGCGGCAGGAACAATCCTGCATTCAAATCACTGTACTGTCTGCCATCCTCCTATGCTGGTCCAGGGAGCAGAACTGAAAATGTGCCTCAAGGCCCCATTCCGAAACAGATGCCATCACCCTGGCCAGATTCCCCAACCATGCTCCAAGACTGGTATCCATCTCACTTCAACCAGCCCTCCTTCCCAGACCTGGGTCTGTCTACTGGCACAGGGGGACCCTGCCATGAAAATGAGGGCATCTCTACTGGATTGCAGGTAATCCCTTCGCTGGGCTGGGCCACCCATTCAACCATCACTGGACCACCCCCAGGCCCGCTACCCCTTCAGACACTCAGCCTCATGCTTCCTAGCTCTTTCTACCAGGTCTCCCCCTCAGATCAATTCCACCTCAGTCCAAAACTTGCCACCTCCTAAGCGAATTTCTACTTCTTCCCAATTTCTATCCTTCCTCTAGCTCATTACTGCTCTCCTATTGCTTAAGCAAAGTCTACTTCAAATTATAGCTCAGAGAGGGCAGGTGACTTGTTCAAGACTACACAACCATTCAGTGGCAAAGCTGGGGCTTGAACCCAGCTCTCCCAATTCTAAGCCTTGTGTTTTTCCACTAAATCTCAGCTGTCTCTCTCTATCACGCTGCTCAAGAAGCCACTGGAGCATGAGAGGGTGCAGACCACATCTTATTCTCTTTAGTAACGTGTACACTGAGGGCCAGGTATACGTTCTGTGACTTCCTGCAGCCCTAGGAGGAGTGACTGTCTTTGTTTACAGATGAGAAAATGTTTTCAGACTACTGCAGTGCTATACCTCCAGTCTAAATACAGTTCTGAACACACAGCAGGGGTCAATAAATGTGGGTTAACGGATTTTTTTTTAATTAGCTTAAGAGAGCCTAATGGAAAGACCTGAAAAACAAGTTTGTGACCAGATCAGGCAAAGGGGTAAGACCCAGCTATCATTCTGCAGTAGATCTAAAAATAATATTGTTCCAGGACAATCTCTGGTGGCAATGTGAAGCAGTCCGTGAGTCTGGGTGCCTGATTTTGACTCTACCTGACCTGACAGGCTGTGCGACTCTAGGCAAATCTTTTCTATTTCCAGGCCTCATTTCCCCGTCTTTAAAAACATTTTTTTTTTTTTACAAAAGAAAGCAAGAAATCCCAGAAGTTGAACTAGATCGTAGGTTCTCTTCAACATTAGTAATACCTGTGAGCTTCTTAGAAATGAAAATTCAGGGGTCCCGCCTGACCTACAGCATCAGAACCTCAGAGACGGAGTCCAGTACTCTCCAGGATGACCCTAACGTTCCTTCGAGTTTGAGAACCATTAGACTCGATGACCTCTATGATCCTTCCAGCTCTATCACTCTGAGAACCCTATGCTTTCTCAATTCAACAGCATCAAACTCCTCCCAGTTTTGCCATTCTGATTTTGATCTGGCATGAACTTGGGTCAGCTGGCTCTCTCACCTGGTCATGTCTGATGCTTCCTCCTGTGATTAATAGAAAAGGCCCCAAGAAACAGACAGTATACTCCACTGCACTTATTTTTTCCATTTACCATCTCAGTGGTATGCATTCTGTCACTATATTAAAAAAAAAAAAATCTACACGTACAAAAAAGCCCAACTATGAGCATTGTGGCATCCTGGTACTATCTGTTTAAAAACTGGAAAGGGATTTTACTCCTGAGGCAAGTCAGTATGGAACTGCTGTATTATCTGAAAAATGGGGCCTTCCTGAGCCCGGTGATCTCTTTTTAGTATAAAGCCAGTTGAAGGAATAAGAGAGCATTTGCATTCTGCACCAGAAATACTCGTAGATTAACAAACCATTGCTTTCTTGGCCCTTATATATCAAAACAAACAAATCCAGATCAACCTTACAAGTATAAAAACACATCCCAATGAGTACTATTTTCTGTGTTAACTATCAACAAATGGGCTGTTCACTGCTGAAATAGTGCCTCAAACTGTATTGTGAAATGAATGAATGTGCACCTTCTCAGTGCCAGCATGGGAGATGTAAAGATAAGCAAGTTGAAATTCTACTGTAGGTGGGGCGTGGTGGCTCACACCTGTAATCCCAGCACTCTGGGAGGCCAAAGCAGGTGGCTCACTTGAGGTCAGGGGTTTCACACCAGCCTGGGCAGCATGGCAAAATGCCATCTCTACTAAAAATACAAAGAAAACTAGCCAGGCCTAGTGGCAGGCACCTGTAATCCCAGCTACTTGGGAGGCTGAGGTAGGAGAATCGCCTCAACCTGGGAGGTGGACTTGCAGTGAGCCAAGAACCCACTACTGCACTCCAGGCTGAGCAACAGAGCAAGACTCTGCCTCAAAAAATATAAAATAAAATAAAATTCTACTCTAAAGAAACTAAATTTGAGTCTAGTGTCAGCAGTGTCAAACCTGTCCATCCATCCAACAAATGTTCGCTATGTGTTTGCCAAGTTCCGGACTGACAGGAATGTCCTAAAGAAGTAAAAAGCCCAAAATAGGACAAGCATATTGATAACTACAAGAGAAGGTAAGAAGTGATCAGTGCCATGCAAGCAGTACAGACAAAGGGCCATGGAACCATAAGAGGAAGCGATTATTTCCTGCTTAGGGGGGATGGGCAGAAATCAAGGCTTGCTTCATGGAAGAGGTGGCATTAGTATGCTAGACCTTGAAGATCAATTGGGTTCAAACAGGTAATGATGGCAGGGCAGGGTAATCCAAACGGAGAAACAAAGACAAGAGTGAGGGAAAGCAATGGAGATAAGGTTCCAGAAGTCAGTTGGCCCCATTCAATAAGACCATAAATGGCAGGATAAGGAAGATATACAGAGGATTTACGTCTCCAGGGTTCAGCTCCTTCACCCAGCCTCCCAGCTAGAGGGGTCCCTCCTCCCCCATCTCTCCAGGCTCCAGGGACAGAACTGCGCACCTGCTGCCTCACCCAGCGTGCTGTGCCTTCCCTGCTGCCTCATGCCTGCGTTCCTCGGGTATCAATGCCTGCGCACGCTTCACTGCACTTGCTATGCCATGTCTTTACACTACTGTTTTCTGTAATTTATAAAACACATACTGCCCACGAGTTTGTATTTTTAATTCCTGTAAGAAGTTTCGGGATCCAATTTGTGTGAAAGTCAGACTGTAACATAATGTAGTATTGTATGATAAAAGCCTCCAAGAATAAAAACAGACAGTATATCCCGCTTATCAGATACTCAAACACTGGTTCCATTCCTGAGTGTCACAGATTTCCTCATGAATAACTCTTCTTTGTTTTGCATCAACTAGTCCCAGTCTTCTTGAAATAAGTTCTAAGGGGATAATTTCTTAATTTTCAAAGCTTCTTTTTCCAAACATTGATTGAGAACCTACTATGTTCCAGGCTGTGCTAAAAGTGGGCACAATGGTTCGCTTAACTTTCACAAGGTAAAACTGTGGTATTTTGTGAGGGTTAAGTCCTGTGAGACATTACTGATCGC